CTTGAAAACTTTTCCGGGTTGGGATCCATACTGGCCCGGCCAGCGCTCTGAAGCAGGAAGCCTGTTACGATGACCTACTTGCGAGTCAATTGAGTAGTATGTATCTAGGCCTATTTAAAATAAGCACTTAATTTATAGCTAGCATTAGTATGTTTTAGAATTAACGGGCCTTATAGAAGCCTTGCAAACCGCTGTTAACTACAAAGTGAATAAACATAAAAAGGTTAATTTTGAACTTAGGATCGACCATCGATACAAAATTCCCCATTAAAATGAAGTGAGAGGAAATAGATTGTCTTTAGTTAGCTGTGGTTCGTTGCTAAAGTTGCCAGTAAAACATCAGGAAATGTACGAATTGAACCGATTGATGCTAACTGTATTCTTAAATACCATGATAGAGGATGCAGTACTGGGGGGATTCTTTGAAGGTATCCTGACGGTAATAACATATTAAGAAAACGAAGTTATACAAAAATAGAGGATAAGCAATCTTGGTCTCCCATTGCTGATCTCGTACATGTTGCGTAGCCAATTTCGTCTAGATTCGTGTGGCATGGGTTCCCGCGTGCTTGCAGGGGAAACAGATGCTGATGATGATGATGGTGAAGCGAAGTCTAGCTTGAAGAAAAAGGGATTTGTGAGGTGTTTGGTGAAGTTGAATCCAATGAGAGAATCCACCTTCTTTTCTAATCATCACAGGCGGATTTGCTATCAGTCCAATAAAAAAACAGTCTAAACTGACATGCCTGAACAACAAATAATGAATTAAAACTGTATTTTCTCCTAGGAGATGAAGGACTAGATGAAAAATGATAGTTGAATTATCCCACAAAGAATTGAATTTCTTTTTGTCTTTCCTCCTAAAAGATAGTCCCATCCAGTCACTTTCAGGGCTAGCCAGTCCTCCCTCATATCCCAAATATTGTGCAAATGTTGACATCCATGCTAATTTTATCTTTTTTGATTAGATCTATATATTTCTTATCGAAATTATTCAGTGTTCTTATCGAAGCATACTCACAATGATTATAAAAAATATCGGATTATCAAATAACTATGCAAGCCTGGTAATAAGATGGCTTCAAAGAACGAGCCCCTCCGAGTCCTTTCCCATTTGTATTGTGTCTTCTCTGCTGCGACAGACCATATTGCCTAGAGAATCCTTGGTTAGAAATCACTTCGAAAAAATGATATTTTGTGCCGACTGAACAAGTACTAAAAGTTGCAGGCTTTGGTTGTTCCAACATGACCTTGTTGCTTGTTGACAAAAATGGCTTTATAAAATTTCTTGACTTCTTTGTGAGCAGACCTTCGGGTGTCGGAGAAGAATTTTGGTCCTGCCAACTCTTCACACCCAACTGAGTCTGCTGCCGAACCAAGAGCCACACCAGACTTCCTCAAATGGGCGACAGGCACGGAGCCTGAATCACGATGGTTTTGCAAATTTTTTCCCTTGCTATCTTAGTTCGCTCTGGCCGGCACACGACTGAAGCTGTGTGCTTTAGACCCATGTTTTACCGGTTTGTTGCTAATGTTGCCCCTTTGATGGGCGTAATTGCCATGTGAAGATGCCAGTCCTGGCTGTGCCGTTTACCCACCGGATGGTTCAGAGCATAATCAGGCCATCTAGACGGCAGGAATCATCGTGTACAAATGTTCTCATCTAATGCAGTCACAATCTGTCAACACGCCTAGAGTTTGATGGACAATTGGGAGGAGCCAAATGTAGCCGGTGCGGCGGTATGCGTTATTGAGTGATTAGGCCTACACTTAAAGCCGGCTCTCTTTGCGCACAACTGAGGCATTGGTACTGTCATACGTTATGGGGGTATGCAGTGCTGGTAGGCTAACGTCGAAGCGGTTGCCGATGAGGTGTGGGAGCTAAAAATCGGGTCCTGTTCTGTATCACACAGACTGTCTGTTCACTTGTGCCATCGCCTGTCCCCAACTTTGCAGGCGCATCAACTACTGAGGCTGGACCACCCGTCAAGCCATGGCACATGCCGTCGGAACTGCCCAACATTTCCTACATCGTCAACCCACTTCTCCCAGGCTGCCACGGCAACCCCCAGCGCTCGGCCATCAGAGGCTACCCGCCCGTTCAAGAAACCCGCATTAAGCCATATCTCTGACATACGCACATACACATACACATACGCGCACACTTGCACACCTACATGACTTTGGCAGCTCAACTACTCGAATATAAACAGATAGAAAAGTCCACTAACGTGTGGATTTGGTATCCATCTTTAAGGGGGGAAATTTCATCCAAGCGGACATTTATAACTGTTAGAATAAACTTTCAGACATGTAGACAGGCCAGCATGCTTATCTACTTACAGGGGGATGGTCCCGAGTACGTGGGGTTGGTCTTTGGAGCATGGCCTATGGGACGTTGCTTGAGGCTTAAGTGGAGGATAAAATGCCGACATCCATCGCAGTCGATCCGTTATTGAGCCTGAACTCCAAATGCAGCACTAAAGAAAAACAATTTCATTCCCTAATCGCCTTTAATGTGACTGAAATTTTCAGTTTGAAGGGAAAATCGGGTAGAAAGAATTCGTGAATTTGCCTAACTGGACACCGAAGGAGGAGTTGTGACCCTTGGATTATGCGAAGAAGATCCCGGTTCACCATCCTGTGACTCAGATGAATCTGTGATGCGCTGTCGTCGGTCCTGTCTTGACAAACCTCATCAGAACGAGCAGCCCTACAATAAAAGGTGGCTGGCTGGGAACCAAATCACATCCCATATCCAATTTGGTTGGCTAATTCAGGCTATTCTCACATTCTTGCGGAAAAGTGAAGAAGAATCATGAAGAAGAGGTGTAATGTAAAGTTATGTGAAGTGTCATACTTCTAACCAGACTCGAGGCTATTCCAGCCTTCTCCGCTTCTTCAGAAATTCCTTCTGCTGCATCTTTTTCTCCCTAAGCATATCCAACTGTCGCAAATAGCTCCCACTCAATTTGCTACACTCGTTTCTTCTATTCAGAATTTCGACTGTTTTATTTAGTTTTGTAGATTGTTGGGAGAACCTTCATTTCGAATGAAAGTGCATGAAGAAGAGATTCGTTGGTCGTTCTCACCAGATGAGGACGGATAAAAATTGTTGTACTGAAGCCGTTTGGCTTTTATACGATATTTATGTTGACGCAGTCCGCGAGACTTCCTCCCTCGTTTCGGGTGAAAACGTGCTGAGCTTTCGTCCATCATA